GAAGATTAAAATATCTAAATATGATTACCTCTTCTGGAATTTGCAAGATGAGCAGGAGTGTCCCAGGGAAATGGCAGAGCCTTTCCATGGGGGGGGGGCTGCATTTCCAGGGAACTTGTGGAACTGGGAGAGTGGCTGGAGGGATGGCGCCTAAGGGGGCCAAGCCATAGGACTTAGAAGGACTTGGGACATCCATGCTGGGCCCGTGAGGGTGAAGACCTCTGCCTGGGGCAGGAGCTAGTCTCTGAGCAGGCATCGTCATGAAGGGGCTCCTGTGACTCTTCGGAACCAGAGGGTGGCAGAGTCTTCAGGTCAAGAGCACAAGGCTCAGGCGTGGGCAAGTGGAGCCGCGGTGTTTGGAGCTGCACTGCTTCAGGTTGGAGGAGATCTGTGTCAGGAGTTTCTGTAAATGAGGGCAGAGGAAGGGTGAGGGTGAGCAGAACTTCACCCTCTGCTTTGATTGTAAGTGGCCGGAAGTCTAGAGTTTCAGCAGAGGCAGTGTTTGCTTCTTTCCCTTTTCAGTACTAAAGATGAAGCCAGTGCTTTGTGCTTGCTAGGCAAGCACTCTACTGAGCTACACCCTCAGCCCGTAAATATTTATTTTTAAAAAGATAGAACGTTAATGACATAGTTCTACCATTATTTAATCTGTATTCTTACTGTGAATAAGAGGATAAAACCAATTTTCTTTACCTTGTAGACTCTGCTTTCAATTTTTAACCAAAACGAATCACTAAGGGACACTCGTTTTTCTTAAAAATTATTGTCTCAAAGGATACAAAAGAACCACTTGGTACTATTTTTTAAAAGGATTTTAAGTTCACCATACTTTACCTGTACTATAATTTTGTTGTTATTTTGTTTGTATATAATTAATTTTCCTGCCATCTTGTCTCATTTGATTTCATCTGTTTATACAGCAATTGGCTTTTGGCTTTTCTTTCTTCTGGTTGTGTTCATCAAAGTCTTTCTCTCCTGAGCACATAGTAGCACGACCAGGAAATATTTTGGAGCTAAGAATAAAATATGTAAATAAACAGAAATATTTTCTCCCTTGAAACGTGTGTATAAAGTCTTCACCTCTGATACAGTTCTCATCTTCCGGTCTCCTCTACAGCTGCCTTCCGTTTAGCCCTGTGCTCATCCTCGGGATTTGTAGCAGCCTTGTTTAGGGGCCCCTGGGTCCACAGTCACTTTTCTCCCACTGTATTGGAGGGAACTTTATTTCTCCCTCAGTCTGACACTCGGCATCCAGGTGCCCCAGGGTTTGTTCTCTGTGTTCCCAGCCTTCTCTGATTGCCAGACACACGGTCCCACCCCTCTGTCCTCGGAACAACATGTGGATGCTCCCGCCCCTTCTCCCGCTGCCTGGCTCTCTGGTTCTGGGGGACCCCGTGCCTCGATGCCCCATCCCCGTCCATCTGCACTCGTCGGCCTCCATTCACGCCTCTGGCTGCCTCACTCACCCTCAGCCTCTTCCCTGGGTGCTGGCTGCTGTGCTAGACGCAGCTCCGGGCCCGGCCTCGGTGCCCAGCCCTGCAGCCTTGGCCAGGGCTGGGGGCGAGAGGGTAGTGGAGGAGGCTGAGAGGCTGGTTCACAGTGCAGAAGAATTGTTTTTCTCGGTCTAAAGAGCAGATCGACCTAAAGAGCAAATACTCCTTTCACAGTTTTGATTCACACAACAGAAGGACAAGAAGGACACAGCCATCATATCCTGGAGGGCTGGGCTGCAAAGGCTGGTGGAAGGGAGTGGAGCACCCTCCTGGGCACAGGGCCCCTTTGCTGCCCCGCTGCGCTGGGCAGGGGTGGAGGAGCAGCTGTGGGAACACAGCTGCACCTCCTGCCGCGGGTGTGAGGTGCAGGGGTTCACCACCTCTGTTGCGAGGTGTGTGCACGTGTGCATCACATAGGGACACAAGCCCCTCCAGCACACTTCACACCAGTCGCAGAGAGAATATTCTAGTTTTGCTCTGCAGTCTTTCCCCTGCTCCCGAAGGGCAAATGTTCTGAGTTCCTTGACTCTCAGTGGAGTCAGCAGTTTGGGAGGCAGAGGTGGACCCCGAATGGGTTGGGCTCAGCCCCGGGAGTGGGGAGCTGTGCCCTGGGGAAGGGCCATGTGGAGCTAGCAGGACCCGGGAAGGCTGTGGCAGTGTGCGAAGTCACTCCACTGTACTCTCCCTCCTTGGCCATTACATCCAGATCTCAGCTGGGAGGGAGTCCCAATGCTCTCATTTCCACCTGTATCGCATTAGCATTTACTGCAACCAAGCTGAGGAGGAGAGCTATTGGTTCTCACTTGGGCGGCAGCTTATAGGGCTTCTCTGCAAACATTTGTTCTACTCATTGTAAGAATGCACCAAGAGCTGGGTGTGGTGGCAAACATCTGCAATCCCAGCATTCTGGGAGGCTGAGGCAGGGTGATCTCAAATTCCAGCTTAGAAGGTGATTGGATCACGGGGTCGCTGTGCTCATCAGTGGATTCATCCAGTAATGGGTTCACCAGCTGACTGTGCTGCTCAGGTGGGGCCTGGTTAGAGGCAGTCCCTGGGTGTGGCCTGGAAGGGTGTGTCTCCTCCTGGCTCTGCTCTTCCCTCTCAGCTTTCTGGCCACCATGATGTGAGCATCTTTGTACGGACAGGGCACTTACATCATGCGGTTTCTACCTTGGGGCCAGCTGACTGAGGACTGAAACTCCTAAAGCTGTGGGCCATAGTGATGTCGCTTCCTTTAAGTTGTGGGAGTCTTGATTGTGCCTCAGTGATGAGGACAGTGGCTGACAGCGCCTTAGCAAGGGGCCTGTCTCAGAATAAAAAGTAAAGAGGGCTAGGGATGAGGCTCAGTGCAAAGGCCCTGGGTTCAGTTCCCAGCACTTAAAAAAATGAAGAAGAGGAGGAGGAGGAAGAGGAGGAGGAGCAGGAGAAGAGAAGAAAGTCAGAAAAGACTATATTGAGAGGATGTAGACATTGCCTCGGTTTCACTAGGTTTTCGGGTCAGGTTGAGCTGTGAGGAATGGGAGGATGGCTGTGTTCATGTAAATCCATGACTTATGATTGCATGTTCACCACACCTGCATATGTGGCAGACCCAGGACTAGGCTCTGGATGACAGAAATGCAGCTTCTGCTCTCCCGGTGTGCATAGGAGGTGTGCATAGTGTGAAGAACAGCGTCCCACATGGGGCAGAGAGAAAGGGTGCAGTGACAGAGCTGTCACCCGGGCAGCTGGTGCAGGTGAGGGGCAGGGTGCAGATGCAGTGACCTGGTGGGGATGGCCCCCGGGACAAGAGCTTCACAGGGGTGTCCCTGAGAGCCTTCTGCTCCATGCTCACGAATTCTAGGAGGCAGCTGCCATTGGATGCTGTGTGTGTGTATGAGCACGTGTGTGTGCACATGTGTGTGTATGTGTGTGTGTGGTCTCAGCTCCTGTGTGCAGGCACTGAGCAGGTGAGCAGGGCATGTTTTCCATGGGAGAATAGAACCCGTGGAAGAAGAGCGGATTTTGTGCAGGGTGGAGGTGAGCACAAAGGCCTGGAATGAAGAGTGTGAGTGAGACATGCGGACCCAGGGCTCCTCTTTGTCCTCCGCCCTGCACGGAGCCTGACCTGGAGCAGATCCTTCACACACCCTTGAGAGCAACAAGGACAGCAAGGACAGCGGAGGACGCATGGAGGTGATGGGCTTGGGACAGGGCATCCGCAGAGTGGGTGGGTGATGCAGAGAGTTTCGTGTGGGTCCAACAGTGACTTGGCATGGGGAGAGCAAGCAGATGAGAGGAGAAAGCACTGGGATTTCATACACAAGCTGACCGGAAGTGGGGCAGATTTTCTGTCAGTTATCCATGATTAGTGAGAGGCTGGAGTAGAGGTGTTTTACTTTGAGTCTTCTCATGGCTGTAAGACTGCAAGTGAGACCCATCCTGTGTGTGGCAGTTTTGCAAGAGATCAGGAAGACGTCTTAACCGAGGGTGTGGGTTTCTCTCCCTTCTCTGGCGTCTGCCTCGCCCGGGGGCTCTATGTTTTGTGAATTGGGCCTGTTGGTCCTTCAGCCCACGCAGTTGGCCAGCAGTCATCCCTGCTTCACGCTTGCAGATGTTCTGGGGTTGTCTGGAAAGGCAGGCACAAAGCTCGGGGTCTCTCAAGCCATGAGTGGGTTGGACGTTGACAAAATGTGAGCAAACGTGTGTCATTCGGGGGCCCGTGAGAGTGACCTGAGATATCTAATAATCAGTGGTCACACTGAAGAGCTGAAAGTCAACACCCTGGAGAACAAAGAGCAAATCCACCTTCTCATTTAAAACATTTTCATTTATGAGGGTGTTTTGTCATGTTTTATTGAGTGTTTGCCAGGATTTAGCATTGACCTCTACTTCAAAGGCAGCAGTTGCAGTAATACATCTAAAGTTGCTTAAATTTTGTGCTGCAACTATTATTTGATGTACTTAAAAAGACACTGACTAGGAAGTAGACCTTGTAATAACTGCTTTTTTGTTTTCACTGCAAACAGGGCCTAAAGTGCGTTTTTAAAAAACAGCTGATTCTGATTCTGCATTGATTAGTGTAAATCCGTGGCCACTGTGAAATTGAGCTTTGTAGGTTAAAAGTAGATAGATTAGAAATGTAAAGGTGGGTGTGCAATATAAAGAAGACAATTTCTAAGGTTATTTTCAGAACGAAAAATCAGTGGTGGGAAATGATTATTTTGGCAGAGATCTTGCTTGAAATAACACTTGGACTTGCAAATTGAAGAACATCAACAGGATAATCCATAAATGTGCTCATTTCCTCCTTGCAGGAGTAGAGCATGGCATATGGCTTATTATTCTGGTAGCTGGAGAGAGCGGAATTAAATCCAGAGATGAAAGACTGTTGTCAGTCCTTCGCCTTTCCAGGAACTGCAGGTAACGGCCTGTGGCTGTGCTTCGAGATCCAGGCCAGGGGAGGGGAGCTAAGGTAGGGGTAGGACAGGGGCAGGGGAAGGGATCTTCTTGCAGCTGGGACCCAGGCTTGACACAATCTCCAATCCTCATCAAGTGGGTCCCCAAAGGCCCGGCTGGCTTTGGACTGCTGGGGTTCCCAGGAGCCGGAGTGGAAGTGCTTTCCTCTGTTCTTCCTCCAGGGCAGCGGTGGTGAACCTACGGCACGTGTGCCTCGGCGGGCACACAGAGCCCTCTCTGTCAGCAGAGAGCCAAGTCACCCCAGCATGGCCCCAGCAGCCGAGCATTCAGGTTTCATTGCAGTGTTGGAGCTTTGTGATAAATAAGTGGGTTTTGGGTTTCAGTTTGGGCATTCGGTCTTTAAAGGTTTATCGTCACTGTTCTAGGTCAACCAGAAGCCCTAAGCATTACATATAAAATAAACAGAAGATTACAAAAGGCGGAGGAAGGCAGGTGGCTAGGCCCTCAGGACCTGGGGACATCATGGGATCAGGACATCACCTGCTAAGGTCCCGCAGCAGTAATGAGGGGCCCTCCCTGCTTGGGGTGCCAGCAGAGACCCAGTACAGATGCCCCCCCCACCTCGAAGTAACAAGGCGACATCTCCCTTCCTTTGGTGCAGGCTTCTATGTTGGGCGTCTGGCAGCCTTAGATGGTGGGTGGGCTACGGAGCCTGCCATCCCTGTGTTCTGTTCTGCAGCAGCACTGACCTCGTGGTGGTGAGAAACTCTGAGTCCTATGTCTGACGGTGGTTTCCTCAAAGGAGGAATGCCCTCCATTCATCGTGGAATTAGAGCCTGCACAACCCTTAGCACTTCGTCTAGGGCTGGCACATGGACACTTGGTAAACATCACTGCGCTCTCAGTGGCGCTGTTGAGAACACAGGTGCTGGTCCAGCACTGGGAAATCTCCTTCACCCTGATGACTGAGACCCATCTGACAGAGCCTGGGCTGGACAGTGCCCAGCTGCTGTTTCCCGGCTACCAGCTCTTGCAGAGATGCCCCTGGGAGCGCTCCAGGGCCCAGGAGCCCCATTCCCTTGGGAGAGGGGCAGGGCAGCGACTCTTGGAGACCGAGCTAGCACGCAGGTGGATGAGTTGGTGAGCACTTCCTGATGAACCGGACAAGCAAGCTGGTCAGGGGCCAGCATCGTCCCTGCTTGAGGAAGCACGGGCGCCCTGGGGAGAGCAGAGGTGAGCTCGGTGGCGCCCAGGGAATGGGAGTAGTCGAAGACCTGGCTGGGTGGTGACTTCCAGGCTGTGACACCCGAGAAGTTTCCAGTTCTGCTATGGGGAGTGATTTTCTAAGGGAACCACAACCTGCTCCTGAGGACATCCTTTAGTCTGGGCAACAGTGGAGACATTCAAATTCTCATTTTTCTGCTGCAGATAATGGGATGTGGGGGGAGATGCGGACTCAAGCTTCACCTCTGTGCCCTTGGATGAACCATGTGGCTTCCCCACCTTTCCGTTTTCTTACCTGCCAAGCCGGACTCTTCCAGACTGTTGTAGGAACTCGGTGACAAAAGATCCATGGGGCCACGTAGCCCGGTGGCTGGCCTGGGAATTCGTCTCAGTCTTCCTTCCTAACACCGTGCTGTCCTGCGAGGTACGGTGAGCTGCTCTAGGCTGTGCAGGACCGCGTAGGGCAGCAAAGTGCTTCCACAGACCCCTGGGCTTATGTATTACACCTCTTCCTTCTAATGTTAGCCTGGAAAATAGCTTAACTTCCAGGTCATCTTTTAGGGAGCCTCGTGCTTGACCACACAACCTGCCCACAGATACACGAATTGGAAGTGAATAGGCAATGACAGCACTTTCAATGTTGACTCACCTTTATTTCAATTAGTGTCCAACAGTAGCAGCAGAAAGCCCCATTTGGAAGGTAATGGGACTTCTCAGAAGCAGGGGAGTGCTTACTTTTTCAGCATTTCATGTCACCTTTAGTAAGATGCTGCGTTTAGTGTGAGGTCAGCTGATTCTGGTCCTCGGGTATTTATCTCCCTGCCTTGTCTCTTGTCCAGCTTCATTTTGGAAAAGCCTGGAGTTAAGATCGATGGCCTCGAAAGGAATAAGTAACCACCCTTAGGGGAAAAAGGGCAGCTAATAAACTGCGGGATTCAGCAGCCGAATGAACACAATCTGTCCGTTTACTCGTACCCAGCAGTGCACAAGTGGACCAGCTTCGTGGCGTGTGCAGTGACGGGGTCAGGGTTGCTCAGCGTGTGCCCTGGGAGACAGACTTCGAGTCAGGCCTGCGCTGGGACCTGCGTGGTGCTGATCCCCAGCTCTGCAGTCTTGGGCCAACACTTCACGCTCTCAGAGCCTCTGTGTCCTTGTGAAAAGAATGAAAACGTCGTTGGTACTTACTGTGCACAAGGAGCTATGTTTCATAATTTACATACGTGTCACACTCAGTTCTTGCAGAGTCCACACAAGCTTGTGATAAATATAACTTGTTTTTCAGATGAGGAATCCAGACCCAGAGGGAGATAAAACTTGGCCCAAGGTCTCCCTATGGGTAAATTGTCAAATTGGCAGTGAACCCAGGGCTCTCTGCCCTGAAAACTGTACTCTTGAAAAGGATTATATGGCTTCATGTTCACAACTGATAAAAATAAGATCAGCTTTGAATGAGTTTAAAATAAGGCAGTATATATATATAATTTTCAGACCAAGGAAGGCCTATCCTAAGAGAATATGTTCAATAAAAGTAATTTTTATTATATCATTCAGAAAAATCATGCAGGGAAATTGCACGTAATACTTAGCAAAATAATGATTGGTGCTTATTAAGAACAATGTGTGCCAAGCTTTCTATTAAATCAGTGTGTGCACTGTCACCTTTACTCTTCAGAGAACTCCGTTATGCAGATATCCTCTCTTATCCTTTCTGAAATAAAAAAATGTTGCTTAGAGGGCTCAAGCATCTAGGACCAAGTGTGTTATTCTGTAGTGAGAGCCATGAGCTTGTCTGCTGGTTCCAGAGCACCGTTTTGCTGGGTTTTTGCTTTTTAGCCTTTTGCCCTGTGGCCTTCCTAAAGAAAAAAGCCTTCTCCCTGTGAATGATCAAGAGTTCTGGAAGAACTATGTACAGACTTGTGTCCGAGGTCTACTCAGGCAGACGTCTCAGGAGCGGCAGGAGAGAACCAAAGCCAGCATCGCTCGTCAGAACGCCGAGCAGGAAGGAGACATTTCGAACCAGGAAGTGGGGAATCAATTTGTTGCGGGGGGTGGGAAGCAATGGCTCCAAACATTTACTTGATGAAAAACTAAAGCAAGAAAGCAGCACAGTGAATCTTGTTAGAAAGATTGATTCTGGCTTCCTCCTGTTCTTTCATTACACCTGAATAATCACTGCAATGTAATCTACAAATGGTGAAATTTCCAAGTCAGGCGGTGCCTAAGTCTCCATTTTGTAAACTCTGAATTAATTCCACACGCACTTACGGATATCGGGCCTAATTCCATTTGGTCTTTCCACCAGCCATGGCATTTTTCTTGCTTCTGGAGGTAAATGCCATTATAAAATATCCAGAGCTCTGGAATGCTTCTCGAGGAGTTTTCCTTGCGGGACCCTGCCTCTTGACCGTGACTTGTCATCCTCTTATTCCTGCCCCCTCACCCCTCCTCGAGCCCTTCTTGGGGGTCCCCTCTGCCCAAAGTGCCCGCAGCCCCTCCTGCCTCAGGCACTCACGGTCCTGAGCTAAGCTCCTGGACCCCGTGTGTGTCCCCAGCAGCCTCCACCTGTGAGTTCTTCCCTGCCCTCCTGGCAGAGCCTGATGTACTGAGTGATGTGGGTCTGCATTCCCGGACACACAGGCAGAGACCACATCAGCCCTACTCTCTGCTTTATCTCTGAAGCCTCTCCAGCCTTGCTGAGGTTGAAACACAATTTGCTGATGTTTGACTACAAAAGTGGCAATTACCTATGGCTCAGCGGATGCCCAACATGTACCGAGCGCTTTCCGCTGACCATCAAGGGCTGTGCTGCTGCCCTCTTTGGATTTCCATCCACCTGCGCCCACCCTCCCTCCTGCTTCTTAAAGAGATGCTGGGGTGGAGGGTTTAGGCTTTACAGGACAATAGCCTTTCTGCCGGAGCTGCCTTCCAAAGCCATTTGCTAGCACCTAGAATTAGACAGCTCAGGGCACAGGTCATGCAGCTCCATGCTGATGTCAGCGCAGGAGGATTCAGTGGGTGAAGTACGAACTGGAGTAGTAAATAACTGGCCCTGTGTCTTTCTTTTCTTCAGCAGTTTGGAAAGAAATATAAATTGCTAATTATTGATTTTCCCCTGAAATTTCACTTGAGCGACACCCAGCGTTGGCTCGTTTCTGTGGCCAGTCTGGACAAGCAGCCTGCGGCAGAAGAAGCCCCACGATGATGCCTCAAGCAGAGAAAAAAATAACTGCGAACAAGAAGCCAGGGAAGGTGGCACCGGGGCTACATGGCTGGGAGAAACGGAGGCCCAATCATGATGTCGAGGGGTCTGGGACTCGGCCAGCTCTGGGAGTCGCCTGGAAAACAATGGCAACAACAAAATAAAAACGAGAAGAAACTCAGTCCCAGAGTGACCCAGAGTTCTGGAACAAACTTACCAAAGGTGAGCACACAAGGCCCATAAAATCGCACTGATTAAAAAAAAAGACATTATTGAATTAGGAAAGACTTTTTTAGTAACCATGCTATGTAAGGGAGGGTAGAGCCATGGACAAAGAGAAATATTTATATGTCAATTATATCTCAATAAAGCTGGAATGAAAAAGAAAGAAAGAAAGAGAAACTTTACTAAGGTTCAATGGCACAACAGTCTAAAATATTTCCCATTTCCCATGCAGAAGTCAAGAGCATTATTATTTGATCTTCCTTCCTTTCTTTTTTTTGTGTGTGTTGTGGATCCAACCCAGAACCTTTCATATGCTAAATAATGCTCCACTCTACCACTGAGCTGCATCTACCTCCTGTTCTTTGACTTTTAAATACAGATGGCTTCGTTGGGGATTATGATTATTAAAGTCCTATTCAAGAAGATAATCAACACAAATGTACTTCCTTTCTGTCTCTTTTCTGTCTGAAATGCTCTATGTAAATAATACTATCCTTGAGTTCTGTATTTATTCATTTCTGCTGTCCACCATTTTCCCCTTCCCAACCAGAGCCACGCTCCTTTTGGGGAATTAATTATTCGTCTCACATCTGTACAGCCAAGAGGTGGGAGGACAGTGTCCTGGCCCTCTCCTGCCATTGCAGCTGAAGTGGACAGGTCCTTTCCCAGCTCATCCAGCCGGAGAGGGGCTGGGTCCAATTGGGTCATCTAAACTTGCCTCTTGAAAGAGTGGCTCAAGGATGCAAGAGGTCGCCGGAATGGAGTCGCCCCACTCAGGGTGTCCTGCTAGGTCTGACTTTGCTTTGAAGCCCTGGCATCCCGCTGCTCTTCGGGGTGCCCATTGTGTAGCTTCTCATAGATTTCACGAGCCCTCAATATGCTGATCCTGAAAGCCCTTTGCATGAGTCAGGCTGAGTCGGTTTCCCCGCCAAAACCCTATTTCTCCTGCTTAGACCAAGGTGGCAAGGTGAGCTGTTGCCTGCACTCCTGGTTTGATGGAGCACATATTATTGAGGGAAGTATGTGGTCACTACTGTTGGGTCCAAGTTCTGTCTCTGCCAGTGAGTGACTGCATGTCCATGGTTAGGGCTCATGACGTTTTAAACTTTACTTAGAAGTTACACTGAAATGGCTGTAATCACACTCTTTCGCCAGGGCCCGTTAGAAACTAAAGTGAGTGCTTGGGCGTGCAGGAGGCCACAGTGTGGCGGCAAGGCTTCCCGTCATACTGGACTGGGAGAGCAGGCCACCTTGGTGCTTCCCCCAGTGGCACAGGCTCCAGAGGACGCAGACAACGTTCAGTTATTCATCGGTGCCACCGAGGTATTCACCCAGCACCTCCTGCATGCCAGGAGCTGTCCGAGCTGACTGAGAGGCAAAGGTACCAGAGGCAGGGCCTAGTCTTCCAAAGGCCAAAGGCGGATGGTGGTGGTGGTGGGGTAAGCAGATGACTGCAATTCACTGTGACAGGAACAAAAGTGGTAAGCAGCACGGGCTTCAGTGGGGGCAGGAAAGCAGGAGTGCTGTACCTGGTTAAGAAGGTCCAGGAGCGTGCTTGCTCTGAGAAAAGACCAGCCCCTCGTCAGAGGGACAGCCCAGGCAGGGATATCTAGGCAGAAGGACGGCATGGTGTGCTGTCCAGCATGCACCGGGATTTTGCGGGGCTGGGGCTGATAAGCCTTGAGTACTAGAAGGAAATGGGGGTCCCCAGGGCTCTTCATACGCCTGCTAGCACGTGGGGACAGACGGACTGAGGAAGGAAAGGACCCCAAGTGAGCATGAAGTGGGTGAGGGCTCTATGGCCCTGCCCGCTCTGCCTAGCTGCTTTGGCCTCACCTGTCCCCTGGGGGGGTACACACCGTATTAGTCACTTTCCTGCTGCTGGTAGGGGAGAGCTGACCCCCAGCTGGCTCCAAGGGCGTGGTGGAGGAGAGCTTCTCACCTCATGGCAGCCAGGAAGCAGAGAGAGAGAGGAGGGGCTGGGAGGGAGGTGCACCCTCCACAGGCGCCTGTCACTGACCCACCTCTTCCACAGGCTCCTCCTCCTAACAGTGCACTTAGTTATGAACTCAGCAGTGGATTAACGTGCCCTCATGATGCAGTCACCTTCCAAAATCGTTACCTCTGAACACAGACTTTGGGGGGACACTTTAGATCTGACCCTGACAATGCCCCTGAGGCACTGTGCATGACTCCTCGGGGAAGGTATGTCCCTGCCATCCTTCACCCGGAGCATACCTACCACCAGAAAGGGGTTATGGTCCCTCATGGATACGGCTCATATCACTCCTCTAGAAGGAAGGGGTATTCTGACACACAATCTTGCTTTCAGCAAGGATGGTTATCATGCTGAGAATTCAATAAAACCAAATTCCACAGTAACAGCCTAAGCAAATCAACAAATAAACCAGGGATTAGCAGTGATGGCGATATGATGCACAATGTAGAGAAGACAGGGAAATCGAGTGGAAGGAGAAGACAAAATTCAGCAACATGGAAATATTGGCTTCCATCTTCATTTTTCTGTTTGCTTTTCTTTCTGTACTTAAGATTGACTTTCTTTGGGTTATTTCCATATACCTATAGATTCTAAGTCATCAGAAGCGTGCCCTGCACAAGGACCCTTCCTTTCTTCCTTGTACTTGAGAATTTTGACTCGAGTCGGAGAATGCTGGCCTCCCCCAGAGAGGGCCCATTTTTCTGGAAGGAGCGTGTTATAGTTTATATCTAGCTGTGCCCCAAAGCCTCATGTGCTCATGAGTGGTGCTTTGGGGAGGAGGTTGGATCATGGGGGTGTGATACTCATCAGTGGATCAGTCACCTAACAAGTTTGTAGCTAAATGTGTTGTTGGGAGGTGAAGCCTGGTCAGAGGAGGGGCCCCTGGGGTGTGGCCTGGAGGGGCTCACCCCCCTTCTTTGCTTCCTGCAGCCGTGCCAGGAGCAACCCTCTCTGCCATCCTGCCCAGCCACGATGGGCTGAAACCTCTACAAACTGTGAGGCAAAATAACCCTTTCCTCCTTTAGTCTGTGGGTGTTAGGAATTGTGTCCCAGTGGCGGGACAGTAGCTAAGGCAGAGCTGGTCCTGATTTCAGCTATAGTCTGAGTACGAGGTTCCCAAACTTTGTAGACCATGGAACCCTAAGTGTCTCAGTCATTTTTTCATGGAATTGGTAGGTGCAAAATATATCTGTTTATTAAGTAAAGATGTTATAATAAACAATAACTATTAATGGCCTACCAATTTGGCAGCCATTTGAAAAAAATACATTGAAAAATATTTCACCCTTAAATAACCACAGTTCCTTACTAGGAGACACGGAGCTCTGTTGTCATGTCCATGGTACAATTTCTTGAAGGACGGGATCAGATTAGACACCGTCGCCTTCATTTCCAGTCCAACCTTGATTTTTGTGTACGTTTGCTTGTGGTCTTAATACAGGGATCATGAAGTTATAGCCTGTGGGCCGAATTCAGCTCATGACCTGTTTTTGCATGGCTTATGAGCTAAAATAGTTTTCATGTTTTAAATGGCTCCAAAAATATTTAAAAGAAAAACGTTTTGTGATACCTGAAAGTTAGATGAATTTCAAATGCTAGCGCTAATACATGAATATGTATTTAAAGAAGGTCATGCTTATTGCTTTACATGATATCTATGGCTGCTGTGGGGTGACACTGACAGGCATGGGGTCCTGCCTTGCTTCACCCTGCCGCTCAGCACAGCCCAAGCCCAGGGAGGTCCGCTGTGAGTCTGCTGTGCTCCAGATACCACGTATGTCACCACGCCTCAGTTATTTACTACCACGCACATCATATTTTAGAAAAGGGGAAGGAAAACAAGGGCTTTGAAAGTCGTGCTTTTAAAATACAGTAGAATGTTGATTATTTTATTATTGAGTTACATGGCAAAAGTCTTGTGTTCAGAGGTAATGCTTTTGGAAGGTGATTTTATTTGCGATGGAGTGACAATAAAGATGTGCTAAAAATACAACATCCATTGTTATAACAGGCTAAGCTTTCATCACAATCTTCCTAACTTATAGGAAAGCAATGTTTAAGGCAATTACAAAATTTAAAACAGAATATCTCATGAAAGCAAAATTTCTTCCCAAAAGTAAACAAGAAAAATGAGGCTACAAGTATGTTTCCAAGAGCCTCATTTTCAAGAATGACAGCAAGAAAAGCTGTTTACTGATGGTAAATTAATTACATCACATCCACTGGAAGCCAAGGAACATGTGCAGAGAAAGCAAACTTCTTTAAGACTATCAGCTTTTCAGCAAGAATAGTAATGACTATTAGTCGTAGTGACTTTGAGTACTGTTTCTTAGTTCTTGAGGAGTTGATTCATACTACCAGTATTGTTCAGTTGTTTATCTAAGGACTCATGCTGATTTACAAGTGATGAAAAATTAGCCTCTCTGAAGAGTTTCCTTATAACACTCTAAAACACAAAGTACAAACTGAAGTGGAATCTAATAAGATGTGTTAAAATTGATGATAATAAAATGTCTATGGGGCAGAAAAAGTTTTAGTTGAACAGATTGCTAAAGCTTATGAAAATGCAAAGTTTTTTTTTGCTTGCTTGTTTGTTTGTTTTTTGGTACTGGGAATCCAACTCAGGACCTTGCGCTTGCAAAGCACGCGGTGGAACCACTGAGCTAAATCCCCAGCCCTAAATGCAAAAATTTTAAAGCCTATGTTTATTTGTTTTATATCATCAGGAGGTGAAATGAAGAAAATATTTCAATATATTTTATGTTAGTGAACCAATAAATTTCATTTGCTCTTATAACCTATAGCCATCGTCAGCTCTGTAAAATGTCAGAAACAAAGATACGTGTCCTGATTTGTTTTACCACATTAAAGTTTGATGAATAAGCAATGATAAAGTTTTAGGGTCAAGGTTAAAATTTTTCTAAATGAGAACTACTCTCAACCACTATTTTGCATGGCTTTGAAAATTCATTTTTGCTGCAGAATTGACAACATATTCTAAATGAATTAAACATAAAACTACAAGGCAAAATAGTGCTTAT